TTTAACAATTAAAGTACTGTATATGCAGGAACATGGTGGCTGCTGCTGCTCAATATTATAAGGCCACATTGACCGTAACAACTGGATTGTCTGCTCCTTTTAATAATCTTGCCATCATCTATAAGCAACAGGTATTGCTTATGTGATACCATTCTTAGGTTGTTGCAAGTTTGTTTTTCCCCCCATGGGGTGTGGGTGTATCTTTCGAACAAAAAAAGAAAAACTGCCATTTTTTGGGTTGGGATAGAGGGGGGAGGATGGTACTACAAAAAATTGCTGCTTCAAAGCTTCTGGAAAATGTGGACCTGTTATTTTCCTCTTACTAAAATCCATGCAAACTTTATAAAGATGAAGATTCCGCACACCAAAAAGCTGTCATTTTAGGGGGAGGGCTGTAATAACCATTTTTTCAGGAATCATAGGTGAAACCCTCACAAGAAAGGATTGGTTTCCAAGGTTAAGAGTAGAAATAAAATCTAAAAGCATCAAAATAAGAATTGCTCTATTTTTTATTTATCATTTGTATTCTGCTAATTCTTTATTATGCATGCTTTCATCACAGGGGAACTATGCGGATGCAATTTCTTGCTACAATGAGGTTCTTCGCATTGATCCCTTGGCAGCTGATGGGCTTGTCAATAGGGGCAACACATACAAAGAGATTGGTAGAGTCAGTGAAGCAATTCAGGACTACATACATGCAATATCTGTCCGGCCAACCATGGCTGAAGCTCATGCAAACTTGGCTTCAGCTTACAAGGATAGGTATGGTACTCGTGTTTACATCAGGGAATTTCATCTTTGGGCTATAACAAACTCCAACCGAGTAAATTTTAGTGAAGTAGCTTGATGTTTCAGATGGATATGAAAACTATCACAGCCCTTGTGTGGAAGTGGAACTAACATGTCTTGCACTCATCTTGCAGTGGACATGTTGAGGCTGCTATTAAGAGCTATAGTCAGGCATTGCTTCTTCGAACTGATTTTCCAGAGGCAACTTGTAATCTTTTACATACATTACAGGTATTATCTTAATTTGATGGAAGTGAAGTGATTTTTTCGAACTTCTTAATGTTTAGTTTTTTTTTTCTCAGAAATTTGAATGAATCTAAACTCTGCATGTTGGTTTGCTCTTGGACACTGACACAAATGTGCACACACGTGCCTGTACACTTGAAAACTTTTGGAGTTATGTGGATGTATCCACGACCGTAGAATTGGTTTTATTCTTGTTGATGACTACACAAGTAGAAGTGAAACATGAAGGCATTTATGCGGTAATCAAAAGTAGATGAGCGTATCTATGTTTCACTTCTACTTGTATGCCTTATGTTGTTTGCAATGCAGCTGAGATTTTGAAATCTTTACATGTAAATTAATATGATTGTATATTCCAGTGTGTATGCAATTGGGAGGATCGTGACAAAATGTTTTCTGAAGTGGAAGGCATAATCAGGAGGCAGATTAATGTCAGTCTTGATATATCCTCATTGTACTCTTAATTTTGTTAAACTGATCATTTTCATTTCTAGTCTTGTTTCTATCACTATTACTTTGCTCGGAGTTACCTGAATGATAATTGCTTATTATTTCAGATGTCTCTTCTGCCTAGTGTGCAACCTTTCCACGCAATAGCATATCCTATTGATCCAATTCTGGCACTTGAAATTAGGTATAGCTGTATGTTCAGTGTTTTAGGCTTTAAGAAGCAATAGCTACTAGCAGGAATTATTTTTCTTCTCATTCACAAGTTTGTTCTCTCTTTCAAAGTCGTAAATATGCTGCACACTGCTCCATAGTTGCATCCCGATTTGGACTTCTCCCTTCAACCATCCTGCTCCTGTCCCCATAAGGCATAATGGAGGACCTCAGAGACTAAGGGTTGGGTATGTTTTGAGAGGATATGCTTAAGACTAATCGCTTTATTTGCCATTCCTTTACTTCTCCTTAAATGTGTGAGGACCTTTCTTGATTTGCAGATATGTAAGCAGTGACTTTGGTAATCACCCTTTGTCACATCTTATGGGATCTGTGTTTGGGATGCATAACAAGGACAATGTTGAGGTTTGTACTTTGTACAGTTGTACTCTCTTATTGGTTCTTTTTATGTTCATTACTGCCTGTTAAACTTAGCATTATTATATAGGTTTTCTGTTATGCCTTGAGTCCAAATGATGGAACGGAATGGAGACAACGCATCCAGTCTGAAGCAGAGCACTTTATCGATGTCTCTTCTTTGTCATCAGATATGATTGCCAAAATGATTAATGAAGATAAGATACAAGTGTTAATTAACCTCAATGGCTATACAAAGGTATACTTCTTCTGTTGATTTCTGTTTCTCGTCCTCAAATAATCTTTGATAAACCTTAAAGCAAGCAATAAGTAGACCTAGAAAATGTGCCTATTTGTGTGATACATTTTGTTAATATTTTCTTATAACTATGATTGTACATTTTTCTTATGATTATGATCGTACCTCAACTAATTGTAGTTGTTTATTCTACACTCAGCTTCTAATGATTGCATTTGTAACATATATCTGTTGTTATTTGTTTGAATGACTTAATGACATATTCATCATGCAGGGGGCAAGAAATGAGATATTTGCTATGCAGCCAGCTCCCATTCAGGTTTCATACATGGGGTTCCCTGGTACCACGGGGGCAAATTACATCGATTATCTAGTCACTGATGAGGTTTGAATTGGGCTTCCTTATGTCTTGGAGAGCACAATTTTGTTGGCTGTAGTTGTCTGATTTGCTCTTTCTTTGCTTACAGTTCGTTTCACCTTTACGCTACGCACATATTTATTCTGAGAAAATTGTTCATCTCCCTCATTGCTACTTTGTGAATGATTATAAGCAGGTTGGTGTTAATAATCATATTACAGAAAGTTCTCTAGTCTGTTTTCTTATTTTATTAACTTGAGCAAAGCTACATGGCACCTGAATCACCATTCAATTTTGTGTTCAGAAAAATCAAGATGTGTTGGATCCAAGCTGCCGCCACAAGCGATCGGATTATGGGCTGCCCGAGGATAAATTTATATTCGCATGCTTCAATCAGTTGTACAAAATGGATCCTGAAATTTTTAATACTTGGTAATATCTTCATATTCCTCCATGTTCATAGAAACAATTCCTAAAGAACCAAAAATTATATTAGTGCATATTGTACATAATCATAATTCATCATCTCACGAGTTATTTCTATGTTTTCTAGGTGCAATATTCTTAAATGTGTACCCAACAGTGCACTTTGGCTCCTCAGATTCCCAGCTGCAGGCGAAACGAGACTTCGTAAATGTACGTGCAATGATTTACTAATTTATATTAATTGATCGCATTCCTTTAAACCTCATTTTTGCAACCATTTCAGAATACATAGTCCGAGTAAAAGAAATAACACAGCCTTTGATGTTTCAGTCTGAAGTTAAAACCATTTAATAATGGGCCATAAGCTCTGGTTTTCACCCAAAAAATTAAACCCGTTTGTGATATTTTTGTTATTTATTGGACTCTGTTCAGATGCTGTTGATCAAGGAGTCCAGCCAGACCAATCATCTTCACGGATGTTGCTATGAAAGGTGATGCACATATCAGGCGGAGTGCGTTGGCAGATTTATTCCTTGACACGTAATCTTCTTTTCCCTTGATTCCATTGAGAAATCTGAAGGCTCTCTTTCATTGTGTACTGGTCATAGTAAGCTAAAATATTGATTGTGGGAGTTTTTGTCTTTAGGCCTTTGTGCAATGCACATACGACAGGCACGGATATTCTATGGGCAGGTCTGCCGATGGTGACCCTTCCCCTTGAAAAGATGGCTACCAGGGTTGCTGGATCACTGTGTCTCGCCACTGGACTGGGAGATGAGATGATTGTTAGCAGGTATGCCTTTTTTATGGGCAACCTTCAGACTCTCTAACGGCTATGCAAGTATTTCATAAAATGATGTCTTTACCATCCACCGTTTTCGAAGAGCCCTCGTCACTTTGCTAAATACTTGTTTCCGAAGGCTTTGTTTCTGTCCTTTCACCAGAGGCTTCTGTCACAAGTATGCATGAGTTGCTTCTGTCCAACTGTTTTGTGCATGTTTATGTTAATCAATTTGTTTCTTTCTGTTTTGACTTGACTTTGTGACTCCTATAGCATGAAAGAGTATGAAGAGAAGGCAGTGTCTCTTTCGTTGAATCCTCCAAAGCTCCGTGCTCTTGCCAACAAGCTCAAGGCAGCTCGACTGACTTGTCCTCTGTTCGACACTGCACGCTGGGTGAGTTAAAGCCGCATGTCTTGTGCATTTATCAGTTGTAATTTCAAATTGTTGTCGCATAAGACTAACCGTTGGAATTAAAGAATTGGTAATAATCTCTTGAAACAACCTGTTGCAGGTGAGGAATCTGGAGAGGAGTTACTTCAAAATGTGGAATCTGCATTGCTCGGGCCAGAAGCCGCAGCATTTCAAAGTCACCGAGAACGATTTAGAGTTCCCCTACGATAGATAGAAGGGCGAAGTTAGAGACGGGATTTGTAGATAGCTTAGGAGAGAAACAAAATAGGGAAAGTTGCTTCAATGGATCAGGAGATCCATATAATCATTACCCAAACTGGACATGTTTCGAGTCGAAGGAGAGAGTAGCAGTATTCAGTATGTCGCTCTTTCCACTTGCTCCCCTCCACACCATCCCCCTCCATCCCCCTCCATCCACTATATAATCTTGTGATTTGTACGTCTCTTATGTAATGGAGATGGTATACTTGTGTGCTGATTTATGTCTCCCGCGTCAACCGTCGTATCATTAAGGGTGTATTGGTTCCGTCTGCTCGTTCTTTACATTTTCGATCGTAAACTACATCTTTCTGAGACATTTTCCGTTTTCTTTCGGCTTGAACCGAAGTTTTGCCGAAAAACTTGGCTCTCTTTGGCATTCAGTTTGCAAGCAAATTCTGTCCTACGTTTCTTATTTCACTTTTTTTTTTTAAAATATGAACCAGAAGCATAATAATTTGTCGTCTAAATTACACACAACTTATGGATCACATCACAATCTCATACTTTGTTTACAAATTGTAGCAATGTTCAACCTCCGCGAGTCAATTTTTCTGTAAACTGTTGGCGTGCTACGCGCTCTGTTCATTGTGTACACCAGTACCAGAAAGGCCATTGTTTCTTCCATGCACTCTGTTCATCGTACCCCGGGAAGCAGGGGGCCTCATCCTTCTCCTTGAGCACAACCGGCAACGCACAATGCACATAGCCACTAGATCCTCAAAACTGCCAAAATCCGTCATCTTCAACGCTCCATCGACGCATCACGCGCCGCGGAGAGAAACTTCCAATTGTTCAATCCTCTTAGCCATATCATGCTTCCCACAGTTCTTCAATCCATCAGTAACGAAATCAAAGCACCGCGAAATCGGCATCAACCCCATCTCAGTCATTTCCACCAAGTAATTCGCAGCGTCAACAAACCGCCCTCCGCGTCCAGCCATGGTTATCAACATGGTATACACCGGCCTGTTGGGAGGATGCCCCTTAACCTTCATCTCACTAAAGAAACAAAATGCATCATCAAACTGCCCCCTCCTGCACATTCCCTTAATTATAGAAGCATACAAGCTCGGAAACGGCTTATGCCCCTCTTCGATCGAGTTATGCAGAAGCCGAAAAGCATCATCGATCCTCCCCACCTTCGAGACCGCCGGAATCAACACCTTGTAAGTGTTGATATCAGGACAGAGCCCCAAACCATTTGCTTCCCAATACAAATCAATGCAAAAATCAACCTCCCCACATTTACAGATAGCCTCCATCAATGCATTGAAAGTAGAAACATCAGGCACAAATCCTTCCTTCACCATCTTCCTTACCATCCCTTTTGCAGCCTCGACGTAGCCAGCATTGAGCAGCCCTTCGACGAGAAGATCGCGGCCGCGAACCGGCGGATTGAACCCTTTGCTGCTCATCTCCTCCAAGAACAATTGGGCCTCCCGCATTTTCCCATTGGAGCACCAAGCATTCACCAAAATGGAATACGTCTTCTTATCCGGAACAACCCCTTTTCGGATCATCCTCCTCACCAGAGCATAAGCCCCATGAAAGAGCTTCCCTTCGCAGAGCGCGAACAGCAGAGCGTTGTAAACTCCGGCGGTTTGGGAGCACCGGAAGGTCTTCGGCGCCCGATTGAAAAGCTCCACCGCCTGATCCACCAGGCCGTGGCGGCCGTACTCTTCGATTACGAAGCAGAGGGTTTCTTCCGAGATGGTTAATCCGTGGTGGGTCTGCATCGATTCGATAAGCTTCCACATCGATTCGTACTTTTTGGCGCGAGCGAGGATCTTGGCGAGTTCTTCGAGCTCTAGGGTCGTGGGGTGGTAGGTGGGGTGGTGGGTCCGGGCCCAGTTGAAGAATCGGAGCGACTCGGTGCCGTGGGCGGAGCAGGCGCGGAGGACGCGGTAGACGAGGTCCGAGTCGACGGCGATTCGGAGCTTGTTGAGTGTCCGCTCCAGGTAGTGGTCGCGACGGACGATGTTGGAGATGTGATGGATGGCTGAGAAGTAGTTATCTTTTGTCGGGACGACGCCGTTTGGAGGGGCGGCATTGAGGGCGGTGGTGAAGTGGCGGAGGAGGCGGCGGAGTGGTTGCGGTCTGTGGAGGACCGGTGAGTTTTTGGCGGCGCCCAACATATGTTTCTCTGCTTCCAAAGAGGTTGCGAAGTTGAGTGATTTTACTATAGAGCGGGAGTGAAGTGTGAATTTCCAATAATACCATTGCTAAATTCTGTATTTTGAAGGGTATAAGAGACATTATGTATTTAGTGCTATTCACGAAATTACCCCAATTGGTACCTTTTATAGTTGAGGAAACGACGTCGTGGCGTATTCTTCTTCTTCTTCTTCTTCGTCCTCAACCTTCTGAGCTTACATCTCGAAACGAAAGCAGAAAGCTTTCTCAGCTCTCGCTGCTTTCAGGCTGGAAAGAAGGAAGCAAACGACGTCGCTTTGGATTCAGCATCGGGTAACTCTCTCTCCCTCTCTCCGTCGAACTTGTAAAGCTAAACGTTGCCGTTTCGATGGCGATAAAACAAGCTAAGATTTGATTTGGTGGTTTAAAGATGGTTGTAGAAAATATTTACTGAGATTCTGGTTTTATTCATTAAATTATTTGGAATAAATAAATATATATATAATTATATATATATATATATATATATATCTGCATGTATGTGTGTATATATATGTTTGTATTCATGTATTATTGTATATATATTTCTCTTAGTATGGTGTGATTTGCTCTTTTAAATGCTTAAATCTTCAAAATTATTTAGTTCAGTTCTTTATCTGGAGATTATTTCTGTTTATACCATACGAATTTCGACCCATATGATATATATATGTATATGTATATATATATATATATGTATGTATGTGTGTGTGTGTGTGTGTGTGTGTGTGTGTGTTTGCGTGTATATGCAAGCTTATATGTTGGGAACTTCTGGCAGCTGATTTTGTACCGTATCATTGTATCAGATAAAATTGCAGGTGGAAATTTTGTGAATTTTTGAGCTGGACATTGGTTAGAATCCGCCATGAACCGTCCTCCTGCTCAATTTTCCCACCCACCCTTCACTTTCCTTCCTTCAAGTCATAATCCTAACCCCGATTACTTCCACTCTGAGCCACAAAACACACCTCCCGGAATCCTCACTCATCCTCTGCCCCCTGATCTTTTGACCACAATCTCATCTCTCGATAGCCTCATTTGCGAGTCTAACCAGACCCTTGATTCACTCTCCGCTCTCCTCCCTCTCGAAAACTCAAGTTACCATAATTTACATAGTGGCCTTGTCGCCTGCCCTTTCAACCCCCACCACCGTGTGCACCCTGGCTCTCTTTTCTCCCACTCCCTCCACTGCCCTTCCCATCCTCACCCTCTCCAGCATGACACTCTCCCGCCTCGCAACTACACCAAAACCCTCAAATCCTCTGAGCAATCCCACACTGGAAAAAGTTTTCTTCAAACAGTTAATGGCTCAGAGGCTGACCTGTGCTTGTCATTGGAGCAATACTATGCGGATTTCGATTCCAATTTCTTCTACAATGATTGCCCTGGTGTCGTTAAGTTTTCTGCTCTGGATGGTGTCAACAGAATGTTCACACTTCCATTAATTTTGTCAGCTGAGTGTGCAAACTTTATTGGTCCAGGAGAGAGAGAGGTTATGGATTTTGACAACCAGTGGTGTAGAATTCTTCCATCTGAGTTGTGGGCTATTAAATCCGAAGTTGCGGGCTGGAATGAGTTTCCTTTTATGTACTCGTACTGTGTTCTTCGTGTCATTTTGGGGTTGGGTGTGGTTAGAGAATGTGATTTAGCCATATGGGTGATTGCAAATTCACCACAATTTGGAGTTGTGATTGATGTGGCTATGAGGGATCATATACTTGTACTTTTCCAGTTGTGCTTGAAGGCTATTTTAAGGGAAGCTTTAAGTAAGGTAAAGAAAGGAGATCCAAAGAGTAAAAGTTTTGAGTGTCCCACTCTGGTTCAAGCTTTGAGGTGGCTGGCCTCTCAGCTTTCCATACTGTATGGTGTACAAAATGGGAAAGTTTTTGTCATAAGCGTCCTTAAGAAATGCATATCAGATGCTGCAGTGGGCTCGTTAATTTTCCCATTGGAGCAACAGGTGATAGAGTCTCCTGCTTTTGAAGGGGGTTCATTGAATTTGGATGCCAATGGCAATGGTGTGAGGGATGCTGAAGTTATGAAACCACTAAACACAAATGATGAAGGGAATAGCATGGTGAAGGAAAACATTATCGGTAGGGTGGTATTTGTGTCCCAGGTTGCAGCAGCCGTTGCAGCATTGCATGAAAGGTCCTTGCTAGAAGAAAAAATTAAAGCACAACGGGTTTCAAACACCCTTACTAGATATCAACGGTATGCACTATGCTCAATGTCATTTTTATGTTGAGCTTGCTTTCAGGTTTACTTTTAATATGTTGAAAATCTAGTTGAAGCATACCAGAGGGAGGTGAATAGAAACAAGTGCTAAACACGGGAGTTTGTTAGAAGGAATATTATTAGTAACTAAAAAGGCCAGGGATCTGCCAGTGCTTTGGATCTTCATAGAAACCTTTGTAAAATAGCCAATACTTTGTTTTTGTTATTATTGGCCATTTATGCTGTTTGGAGCAAACTGTCCTTTTGCTAACATTTATTCCAACTGGGTTGTTACACACATACAAGTCTTAGACTCTTATTCATATGGCTATTTGTCAGTTCCATATTTGACATATCTGTTGTTTTTGGGGATGGATTATGAAATGCTAAGTTTTTCATGTACTGTCTTTCTTTGTAGGGTGGTTGATCATGACTATGTATCACAGAGAGCTCATGAGGAACGGAAACACCGAAGTCAGTATAAACCCATTATTGACCATGATGGGATTCATCAGGAGAAATCACGTGACCAGGTACCGGATAATATCATTGTTTCAAGATAACTTAGCAGACACATGATGCTTGTTTAAAGTGATTCAGCTTATCTCTCTGCTGGGAGTCTGGATTCTTTCTTGCCATTTTAGATTAAGTAAAAGGTTCTCAGAGAGATCAAAAATAAGTTCAACAGTGTAGAGAGTATCCTATCATGATTAAAGATCTTGTCTTTTCTAGCGATTATTGCATTTTAAAGTATGGTTTTAATTAGATGAAGAATAAACCTAGTAATAGCCTGAAATTCCTGAATTTGGTTCTTCTTTGTTGGTTGAACTCAAGGAAACAAACAAGACTAAGACTAGAGAAGAGTTATTGGCGGAAGAACGAGACTACAAAAGACGAAGAATGTCATATCGTGGTAAAAAGGTGAAGGGAACACCTTTGCAGGTATGGCGCAGTTTATATTTGTGGAATGTTTTTTCTTGTTGCTTATTTTATACTACGCATATCATTTTAGTTATTCTGGCTAGTATTATTTGTGGCTTTCTTGAGTTCTTACAAAAGAAAAACAAACAAAATATTGAAAAGGAAAAGAATTTTATGGGTACTAGACTCTAAGAAAACCTCATCAGAAGCCCTTGATGTTTGAAATTAAACCTAGATACAAAGAATTGTCTTAAAAGGATACATTTCCACTTCTCTACCTGCTAATATATGACATTGACATTGATACTAAAGATACCACACAATAACGCAGGGAGGGTACTGAGGCGGGTAAAACATCAAGAACATTTCTTTTGAGTGTACTTATAGAAACAATGGTAATCCTTGAGTGATCTATGTTTCAAACTCGGTCAGTGGAGCTAAAAATAATTGATTTTAATATGTTGTGATTTATTGGACTGATGGTAGGAAAATAGGAATAACTAAAGAAAATCTTTTTTTTTTTTCACTGTTGAAGCATTTACATCTGCAGTTTTTTGCTCTTTTTATTTTATTAGCATTTAATGTTTACTTCTAAACTTTCTGAAGAAAATGAGGGATATTATAGAGGTATACATGGAGGAAATGAAGAAAGCTGGTGGGATTGAGTGCTTTGAGAAAGGAACTGAAGGGAAAGGGAACATTCCATTGGAGCTACCATCAGCTCCTGACATCACCATGGATGCTGATAAGGCAACAAAAAGAAGTTATGAGTCAGCGGCAAGTACCCCGTATCATAGCAGTAAACAGTCTCATTCTAGTGATGCTATTCGTTCTGCAACAGCCAGGGATGCTTATACTAAGGATCACGAAAAACCAAAACGTAGTCTTGAGGGACGCCATGAATATCTAGAAGATCAGAGAAGTGTCAGTAGGGACAGGCGCGATACAGAAAATCATTCGAGAAGTCCAGAAAGTCGCCGAGATCATGGATGGTCACACGGACATACTCGCAATCGCAGGGAACGAGATGATCTGGACATGACAAAGATGAAGCATTATGAAACCAAAATGTCATCTTCTGGCATATCCAAGTTTCAAGATAGATCATCTTCTCGGTCAAGTTCTCATCTGAAATCAAAAGTTCGAAGGGATAGATACACATATGAGAATCACAGTTCAAACTCTATGGAACAAAATACGTTTGATGATAGATATGATCCTCTGGAGCCTCATGATATATATGAAGACGATCTCTCTACTAACAGAAAGTATGCTAGAGCAGGCAGACGTTCTGAAAAAGAGAAAATTCCCGACTACCATTAGAAATATGACTGCCATGTCGGTAAGTTATTCTTGATTTTTTTTTTATGTACTTATAGTATGCTCTCACTTGAATTTGAAGGTGACATTTCTTTTGTGACATGGTTTACTGACCAAATTTGCAGCCCGAAGTCATCAGGCTTCAGCAATTTTAACTTCACCTGTATCCTCCTTTGTATCCTTGACTGTTTTTTTATGAGCTGTTAAGCATTTAGATATTTTCAGTTGTCCTTGTTTCTTCGCTCATTCACGTTCTGAGTAGATGATAAGTTGATGGAATAGTTATATTCCCATATTCCTTATGATTTTTTTACCCTCATTAGTCAAAATCATGTTATCAGTTGAGATTGTTATTTACTGCATTCCTCTTGTCTGTTTTTACGTCGGTTTCAATATGATAACCCTTGCAATTGTGATGTCTCGCATTTAGCAATTGTTAGTCTAGCTAAGTGAGACAAAACACCACCACCTTATTAACTCTTCTTACATGTCAATCCTGTTTCTTTACACGCTAACCTTGCTCTGAATTTTCTTTTGGGCCAG